GGCCTTTTTTGCTTTTGTTAATTGTATAATAAATAAAAAGAAAACAAATAGATAGAATACAAAAAGATTAGAAAAGCTAGTGTTTTTTTTTAAGAAAACAAGCAGTAAATTAATAGAGTACAAGAGTGAATAGAGTTTTTTTTTTAAGAATTGTACTATTCCAGAATTTAAGAATAAGACTTTTCCACACAAGATCAGCCCAAAGAGGTCCTCTTTTACTGTATATCAAATGGTCATGCGATTGAAAGAACCTCAACACCTGAGTGTGTTTTCCAGATGGGAATAAGCTGCAATTTATATATTTGCATAATTTCAATCAGCTCTTCTCATTAGCAATGGAATAAAATACAGGAGACATATTTGTGTTTCAATTCACAATATGAACAGCTGTTCACTTTGACTTTAGCCTATAAGTTAGTTTTAGAAAATCATGTTATCTGATCTGACATACAGTGTGAAAGCATTTGAAAATTTGCCAGTAAAATTACATTGTTTTGGTCTTGGTTGAGCTTGTGTGTAAAAGAAGTTCAAGCATTTTAAATTTGTGTTAACTGTATGCATTTTGTGTCAAAGCAACAAGAAATGTGTTAATTGTATAGCCTACACAGACGGATGTTGTGCTAACTGTGTTAAGAGTTTAGGAAAATTGTTACAATTATTGAAAAATTGTCATAGGGATCGTAAAAAACTGTAACATATTGGCTGTTTATTAGTACTTATAAAGTACATATTCTGCATGACCATATTCTGCATCCCTAATCTTACCCAATACCTAAACTTAACAACTACCTCACAAACTATTAATAAGCAGCAAATCAGGATTAAGATTTGTTTTTTTCAATTTATTGTTTTAAAATTGTAAAACATGAATGGAACTACATGATAACATGTCTATGCTCTCAAAGAACATAAGTTATACATGTTTAATTTTAAAAAGGATGGTGGAAAATTAAGAAAATTAGGAATGGGATTGTTCATAATCCCAGAAAAAATCTGTGGGGGTGCAATGGGGGTAATTTTGTCTTTGGGGTGCTGAAGCACCTGCTAGCCCCTCCCTAGCGCCACCCATGCTTACATGGTACAATAGCTGAGACCTTTCCCTTTCTCTACAACTATATTAGGGGTGTAATGGTACACAAACATGACGGTTCGGTACATACCTCTGTTTTGACATCACCATTTGGTACAGTTTCAGTACAGCAGGGGGAAAAACTTAACATAAAATTGTTTTTAATGTTTTTTATTTATTTATTTTTTAATCAAACAGTGGTTTACTGAACAAATTGCTCTTTCTTTAAATAAATTCAGTTATAATTAAAATGTTCTTAGGGAATTATAATTGAACTCTCTCATGATTATAACTACAAACCTAACCCTATGAAAAAGTGTAAGCTAATAATCAGTCACCTTGACTGATGAAGTTAATACGCATGTGCAGGCAAACGCTCAAGCGCGTCACACACGATCCGCCTACTCTTGCATAACTGACACCCTCTCATTAGCATGTTGCGTAGAGGAAAAAAAAAATGTGGAACTACATTCAGAAATAAATGAGTGATCAAAGTTCTTAGGGATAAAAATCTACCTCGACTAAAACTATAGTGAGCCCTTTTACATTATTAACAACAGTTAACAACAGAGTCCAAACTTAAATTTAATAACTATTTATTTCAGGGGCGCGGGAAGATGAAGTGAAAATAGCGTATTTTCTTAGCGATAGATGCTATTTACACTAAGTGAAAATAGCAGTTTTTTTTTTGTGATATGCTATTTACACTAAGTGCAATTAGCTATAGATAGTTAAAATAGCAGGATATTCTGCTAATTACTTATTGCAAATAGTGTCAATTATCTGCACCTCAGCATTGTAATACATTATAAAACAGTGTGCAATAATAACTTAATTTTATTTTTAATTTTGCCCACCAATTTATTTAATTTATTTGCCTACTTTCATCATATGTATAATTATTTATTTATGTATTTAAACAATAATACGTGTATTTATGCACACATTTATTTATTTATTTGTGTATTTATTTATTTATTGGGGGCGCGGGAAGATGAAGTGAAAATAGCGTATTTTCTTAGCGATAGATGCTATTTACACTAAGTGAAAATAGCAGTTTTTTTTTTGTGATATGCTATTTACACTAAGTGCAATTAGCTATAGATAGTTAAAATAGCAGGATATTCTGCTAATTACTTATTGCAAATAGTGTCAATTATCTGCACCTCAGCATTGTAATACATTATAAAACAGTGTGCAATAATAACTTAATTTTATTTTTAATAAAATTAGTGTAAATTTTAATTTTAATTCAAATTATTAAATGGATGCCACCTTATTGGGACAAAAGCCCTCCCTACACCTAACCCTACCCGATACTTTATTTTCAACTTTTTGATTATTTTCTTCATTTTTATTAAAAATAAATGCTTTTCTGGTGTGATTTGAAATTTGAAAAGGGAGAAAAAAGTTAGCCAAAATGCAGATTCGAACCCGGGTCGATCGCGTCAAAAGATGTACGACACACACTTTACTATCTACACCACTGAATCTGACGATTAATGACCGTCTTTTGTAAATCCCAATCACAAATTAGTGGGTGGAGTTAGTGTAAATAGCCTCTGCCAACAAGGCGGGCTTAGTGTAAATAGATACTCCGATTTAAAAAAAAAATTCCCAACAGTTAAACAGTTGCGCACAGAATTTTTATTTTATTTTTTTTATATTAATAATATTTCTCGAAATGCTCTTTTCTCTAGCAAATTAACAAGCTGAGGACACTGATGACTTGCCTGAGGTATGTGACGTTTTGTGTACAAGCTGTTTTATTGCCATCTTTCCACGGTTGAAATAATGATTGAGCGATTATATGAGGCATGAGATGTTCATTCATGTTTATATCGCGTTAAATCTAGTAGTAAGGAGGAAGGTAGGATCACGCTGCTGTTTGAACCGAGGCATTTATACAGCGATCTGTCACGCCACATCAAAGAGCATCCAAACGGCATTTATTGTTTGAATTTCCTGAAAAAAGGACATAATTTGAAAGATGCGACTTTGTTTCTTATCAAAAGTAACAATATATAAAACTGGAAGTTTCCAATGAAGTTCCGCTCATGCAGTGGTTAAACCAATGCTGTATTTGTTTGGTACACATGCATATACAGTGGGTACGGAAAGTATTCAGACCCCCTTCAATTTTTCACTCTTTGTTATATTGCAGCCATTTGCTAAAATCATTTAAGCTAATTTTTTTTCCTCATTAATGTACACACAGCACCCCATATTGACAGAAAAACACAGAATTGTTGACATTTTTGCAGATTTATTAAAAAAGAAAAACTGAAATATCACATGGTCCTAAGTATTCAGACCCTTTGCTGTGACACTCATATATTTAACTCAGGTGCTGTCCATTTCTTCTGATCATCCTTGAGATGGTTCTACACCTTCATTTGAGTCCAGCTGTGTTTGATTATACTGATTGGACTTGATTAGGAAAGCCACACACCTGTCTATATAAGACCTTACAGCTCACAGTGCATGTCAGAGCAAATGAGAATCATGAGGTCAAAGGAACTGCCTGAAGAGCTCAGAGACAGAATTGTGGCAAGGCACAGATCTGGCCAAGGTTACAAAAAAATGTCTGCTGCACTTAAGGTTCCTAAGAGCACAGTGGCCTCCATAATCCTTAAATAGAAGACGTTTGGGACGACCAGAACCCTTACTAGAGCTGGCCGTCCGGCCAAACTGAGCTATCAGGGGAGAAGAGCCTTGGTGAGAGAGGCAAAGAAGAACCCAAAGATCACTGTGACTGAGCTCCAGAGATGCAGTCGGGAGATGGGAGAAAGTAGTAGAAATTCAACCATCACTGCAGCCCTCCACCAGCCGGGGCTTTATGGCAGAGTGGCCCGACAGAAGCCTCTCCTCAGTGCAAGACACACGAAAGCCCGCATGGAGTTTGCTAAAAAAACACCTGAAGGACTCCAAGACGGTGAGAAATAAGATTCTCTGGTCTGACGAGACCAAGATAGAACTTTTTGGCCTTAACTCTAAGCAGTATGTGTGGAGAAAACCAGGCACTGCTCA